TGGAATAATTTTAGACCAAAGAGACTACAATTCCTGTCCTTGCCTTCTTGGAATGTTCCATTTTTGGATTTCGATTCCAAGGAGAGATAGCCTCTGTGAAGTTCATTCATTCAACAGGAATTCATTACATATCTACTTTTGGGGCACTTAATAGGTACAAAGATAAAGATAAATTTAGACATATTGTCTGCCCTTAGGGAGCTTCAATGTAGTAGGGGAGATAAGATATGGACCATACCTCTATCCCTGGATCTAGGTATGAAGCCTCAAGCCAAATACGTGAACAGAGGATGAGGGAGGAGGCTCCAAGGAAAAGAAAAACCAAAGTGCTGTACAGATGAAGGATAAATAATTGCTAGGTAGACAGAATATCAGATATTCACCGCACTTTTCCAGCTCCGTGAGTCAAAACAGTCCATTTTCTTGCTTAACCTGGTTAAAATGGGTGTATCCTTTGCAACGTAAAGAACCTTGGCCAATCTGGATAGATAAACATTTAACTGGCAGAAAACAAGCAGAACAGGCAATTTAGTTGAAGGGACTAGGATTAGGAATAGACACAGAGGCAGAAAAGAGCAGCAACAACCTGCGGTAAATTATGAATAACCAAGAAGCTTGGTAATACAGCTTGGTCAGATTATGGAAAGTTTTAAAAGTCTGTTTATGGAGTGCACAATTTTTTAGACTTGTGTTGTTTCAGCTACTCTCAGGTCTTTGGGAAGCTGAAGGCAATTATTTTTTCTCCTCTGATTTAGAAGTGCATTTGGAAGCAGGGCCGCCTTCAGATATTCCAGTGAAATAACAGCCAAATAAACCATTACTTTTTTTTTAGCACTACATTATTAGCACCCTTAAGAAATAATTACATCTACCTGTTTTCATCAGGGGATGTTCCTAATGTCTTTCATTAGTAACAATGCCAGTCTCGATGCTCAGGGGCTAGGGAATCTGCAGCGGGCAGGCTTGCCTCCCTCCTCCTGCCCACTCGCCAAAGACATTGACAGATACCAGCCATGATGTGGAATAAAGACGGGGTTGAACCTTGTCAAACCATGAGTGAGGAAACCAAACAATTTGCTTAATAACATTTTGGAAACTTACCAAATTCTGCTACACTACATAAAAATCAATTTCTGATACCTGAAGTGGGGAATAAATGGATCTTTTTAAGTAGGCAGCATTTCTAACTGTTGCTGTAGAACTGAGGCTTCTCAGGAAGGTAAGTAATATGCAAAAATTTTAAATTTATGGTCAAATAAATTTGTGAAACACTGGTTAAAATGAAGTTAAGCAAGTTCTTTTTCTAAAGGAATTATCAGAACTTTTTGTGTGTGTGTGTGTGTGAGGAAGATTAGCCCTGAGCTAACATCCATTGCCAATCCTCTTCTTTTTGCTGAGGAAGATTGGCCCTGGGCTAACATCCAAGCCCATCTTCCTCTACTTTATTTGGGATGCCGCCACAGCATGGCTTCACAAGTGGTGCATTGGCCCGCACTTGGGATCCGAACCTGTGAACCCTGGGCCACCGAAGCAGAGCGCACAAACTTAACCGGTAAGCCACCGGCCCGGGCCCTATCAGAACTTTTAATATGTTATGACACATCATGACTCCCTAAGGTGATAAAACACGCACCACTTGTCAAATTTATTGACCTCTTGTCTTTTTTTCAAAGGAGTTACCTTGTATTTCTAGTGGAGGTTCCTTGGAATATACTATGGGAAACACTGGAATAGTAACTATGTGATCAGAGATATGCTTTAGGCTCATTAGTCTGGAGGCTATGTACTTTTAGGACGAAGAAGAGGCAAACAAAACAGGCTAAATGTCCAAGTAAATCAGTCCAGGTGATGAAAGTGATTATAGAAACATAACAAATACACTGTGAAGATAAAATGGGCAGGACTTTGCAATTGAATGGATATAAGCAGTAAGGACAGAAAATAAGTGGTACAAAGTCATAGGTATTCAAACAAGCATCTGGTTGGCTAGCAAAATGAGAGTGCTTTCCATAGAAATTGGGAAAACAAAAGCGGCACCTGAGTGGGATCTGAACAGATTCACCGAAGGAATGAAAGACACACAATTAATTTTGCTCTCAAGACAGTTGAGCCTCTAACCATCACAAGTGCTCTTCCCTCCCGTAGGACCTTCCTCCCTCCTTCCCTTTCTTCCTTCCAAGTTACCCGGCTTCGAGTTAAGCTGATCACCAGATCTGGCTACTGAGGGAAACAGTCTCGTTGGTCTCCTTTTTTTCTCTACCCCAAATGGGCATTCTTTTAAAGAGTTTTAGTGCTGATGAGCAGAGGAAGTAAATATTCTAATAGGACTCCTCTTCAACACATGCTAGTCAGTTACTTAGTATGATATAATAAATAAGGGGCAATAAAAACAGGGAGTTAGGATGGCTTTTTAAAAACTTACACAAGTATTAATTTTTTTGGACTATTTTTTGTATTACTCTTAGAAAATTCATCTATTTTTAGAATGATATCCTATACTTAAGCACTGATATTAAATAAAAATTCATTTTGTACACTAACACACAGATTTTTAATAATGTGAACTGCTCACGGGAAAACTTAGTTGTCCCCGCTTCGGGTAATTTCACTGAAAGAGGTTTATGTTGGTTCCTGCTTCCACAATACAATTTTTGTGACTCTAGGAACACGTTGTAACTTGGACACTAGTGCAGATGTTAAGAGCAAGGAGAATTTAGACATCCATTGGCTCAGATTTAAAATGATGGAGCATTTATGTGAACTCGGTTCCCCTCCTGTCAAACAAAAACAAACACAATAATTTTCATTTTTCACACCCTTTTCTTTTTTTCTGGCACATATACACTATTATTCAATCAAAGGTCCACTCCTGATGACCCCATGCCAGAACAAACAGAAATGAAGTCACTCCTACTGGGTCCTCTCTTCCTCTCACACCCTTTCATGCCACACTTTTGTTCCTTCATTTACAAACCTCAGCCTCCTTTCCCTGAAGCTAAGGAATATGCTTCAAAGGCGAATTTAATGCTGTTATCATCTCTCTGGGTTATAGTGTCTGGGACAGCCCCTCTTTATGCCTCAGAATTGATAGCCCCCTCTTCTGCTCTCAAGAGTCCTGGCTTGCACAGTAAATATGGTCATCTATGTATCACACTTCATTTTTCTCATCTCCCAATTCTCTATTTCCAATTTTAACCAAGTTTATTTTTTAAATTACAGAATTACAGGTTAAATGGGAAGGAACTGACATCATCTAATCTTATTTCACACGTGACAGGTTTTAGCCTCTGTCTCAACTTTGTGCAGTTAATTCATTACCTCGTGAGGTGGTATTTGCCACTATTAGGCATCTCTAAGTTTTACAAAAATCCTTCTTATGTTCAGCCTTAATTTTTTTTAGACTCTTGCCCAGTCTAAAACTCTAAGGGAAGGAGGGAGGAAGGTCCTACAGGAGGGAAGAGTAATTGAACTCGTGATGGTTAGAGGCTCAACTGTCTTGCCAGCAAGTTCCTTTCTCAACCACGGGTTATTGTAATGCCCAGCCTAAGGCATCATCATATACTACAAATTAACTTCTTTTTAAATATCTAGAATAGTATTAGTTATAGAGTATCCTTGGGAAAATTGAGAAAACAGTCACTCAAATCATTTTTCGTATTGCATGGTTCAAATGAGAAACCATGGGTTGCAAAGCTCCAAGGCTCTATCATTTACTAGCTGTACGACTTGAGACAGTTTACGTCATCTCTCGGTACCTCAGTTTCTCAGCAATAAAATGAAAGTATAAAATCTCTCTTATGGGCTCTTTTGAGAATTAAATGACATATATAAAGCTCCGTAAAGCAGACACTCATTCATTTTGTTTGCCACTTTATTCTAAGTGCCGAACACAGGTAGCAGCAGGCACAGAATACAGTTCTCAATAAATATCTGAATAAACAATGAATAAAAGCCCCTAGCACATTGCCTTGCACATAGCACTCAATAAAAGGTAGCTATTATTATTCTTTCAAATATTTTTCCTATGACCTGGTTTCCAGACCTCTCACTATATTAATCACTGTCTTATGGAAGTTCTCTGGTTTACCAACATTCTTCTTAAGACGTAGTTTTAACAATTCAGTTCTGCGTGGTGTGTGGCAATTCTGCTTTATCTGAACATAATTACAGACAAGAGTTCACTGGGAAAAAGCTAGTCTACTTGCTTACATGAAGAGGTGGTATTTACCAAACCCACTAACTTTCTCCGAAAACCACTCTGTAAACCTTGGGGAATGTATCGTTAAGAAAACAAAAATATTAGCAAATAAGAAGCGATCAGCCAGGTAAAAGAACCAGGATAGTGAAGTATCATGGAAAGCCATTGCAATCAGGACTTATTCTTATGACTGCTCCTAACGAACAGTCCAGTGTGGTGATTACCTATCGACTTCTTAGCCTCTCCATTTAGAATACACTTCTTGATCTCCTTGCTGGCAGGACAGTGTAAAGTTCATCCACAGTGCTTACCACTGAGAAGATCTTCAAATACTGTTGAATGAGTAAAGACAAACAAGAAAGTTCAAGGAAGATGCTCAAGTGAATAGATAAACAGCTTCCTGATAGGAGACTGTAAGACTAAGGTTTCCAATTTTTGTGTATTTTGGGACAACAGATTCAGACTAAGGAAGCTGGGATTTAATGCAAATAAACCGACAAATATAAGTGTAAAAATCCATTTGGAGCCTTTGGCAAAGAAAGAAATATAAACTGGTTTAATAATTTGAAAGAGTACAAAGGTTTAGGTTTTGCTTTTGCTGTTTTTAGTACGGTTGAGATTCAAGTTTGTAGATATTCCTGAATAAAAAGTGAAGGAGGGAGAAGGAAGACGGAAGAGCGTAAGTGTTGAGCACAAGATGATAGGATAAGTGTTGGGCCACAGATGCAAGGACAAGCCACGGTAGTAAAAAGAAGCCTTTCCTTTCACCAACAAAAGTAAAGGTAAAGGGAATCGTCTGAAGTAGAAACGTAGGCAGCTAAGGAAGCTTGAAATACTAATCTTAAAGTAGGAGAATCCGGCAGGGAGGGAAGACTTGTGGAAAGCAGAGAAACTTGGATCCACTGTTGGAATGGAGTGCACAAAGGGTGAATAAAAGGATCGCTGACCTCTGGGAAGGGTGGTCCCCTTAGCTCAGCTTTGTGACTACTTAAGAGAAAATCTCTTCTATCTGCTTCCTGAACTAATCATTCTGGCCGCTTAAAACCATCTGAATTACGCAATAGTAAAAATTTCCCTTGTGCTGGGCGATCGTAACTGGACTCCTACGTATTCTTATATTAAAATGAAATACATTCTTTTAAAAATAAGACAGCAGTTGCACCAAGAAAGCATTTGAGAGAGGCCTTGTTCACAACCTAATTGGGGGGCACAGGGAGGTACTGGCTTTAAGCCGACAGGCGGGCTGTGAAAACACCTCCGAATGCAATCAGACGCTGTTGCAGCACACTCCGTAGGAGATCCAGTTTAACCCCGGGGGTCGGGTAAGGTGAGAATCTGGCTTGGCGGCTTCGGTTCCGCCCATCCGGTTCCCTTCCCTTTATAACGCGGGTTGGGCTCCGACCGCCACCAGCCGCCCGACTGCGCTCGAGACGAACGCTTGGCCGCCCCGCCTGCCGAGGAGCAGGTCCCGGAGGAGTCGCCTCCCGCCTGGCTACGAGGAAGCTGTCTCCAGAGATCATCGCCAACGCCAAGGCCGACGGGCTGAGGTCGCCGTGGGAGGAGCGGTAGGCCACGCTGTTCGCTTGGTCGCCGGCGGACAGGGACACGTAGTTCAGGGCCATCTTCAAATACTGCCCGCAGTATCTGTGTCGCCGCCCTCGGCCAAGGCAGGCCCTTCTTGCCTCCACAGATCAGTCCCGCTCGCCTCGGACACGAAAACTACCTACACCGGAAGCCATAACTGGAGCTGCGGCGGATCAACAAGCCGCTTTTAACGAGGGTTCTCCTCACGAGCATGCGCAGTCCGCCAGCACACGTCGACGCCGGCCGAGAGCGAGCGTGATTGACGTGTACGTCAGTGACGTCCGGGAGCGCGAGGACGTGGGGTTTCTGAGAGTGCGCAGTGGGTGCGTCGGCGACGACCCGTCGGCCTTTTTAGGGAGCGGGCGACGTTGAGATGGGGGCTGCGGCCGCGGAAGCGGATCGCACTCTGTTTGTGGGCAACCTTGAAACTAAAGTGACAGAAGAGCTCCTTTTCGAGCTTTTCCACCAGGTAAGCGGCTGAGGTCAGCCTTTTCCTGTCGTTTTCCGGCTCGCCCAGGGCCCGGCCCAGCGGCCGTCCTCGCTGTCTTCGCGCCGGCTTGGCTGTCGGGCCGGGCACCCGACAGGTGGGCCGCTTGGGGCTGGAGGTCGCGCTTAGGAAGTGAGGCGCTCGCTGGGTGTCACCTTGTTAGAGGAACCCTAGTGAGTTCATGCCCAAGTGACGGTAAAGGTGGTGGAGGGATCCCCAAACGAAGCATCCCAAGGTAAAGATGCAGGGCTCCTAATGGGTCGAGCAGTGCTTTTTCCTGTTGCTCCTTGTCTCATCTTCCTCTTAGGACACTTTGTCTTTGGTTCATCTGACTGATAAATTACTTTTCAATTTCTGTGCATCTGTTTTCCACTTAAGTTTCTTATAAAATTGCGGCATTAAAATATTTAAAATAGACTCACATACTCCGTAGAAAAGCGGCGTTGTAGTGTTTCTATTAAAACGTGTTGAAAATTAAGAGTATCCTGTACCCTCTAGTTCTGTCTTCCAACAACTGGTAACGTTTTTGATCAGTCGATACAAAAGTGAATTTCTAGTCCAAGAAAAATCACTTGCTCTGGCTTTTGATAAACGTTAATTTCCATGGCGTGGGAAAAGGATGGATGTTGGTCGCCTTGTTAAAAAGTCATAAAGTGCTGTGAAATGTAAACTCAGTGATTGTGTTTCCAGTTCCTTATGAGCTCCCTTACCCCCAAGTAAGTTAATCTAATTTTCAGCCGTATCTCTTGGATCTTTAACCTAGGTGGAAATCCGTGTGTATCCATTTTTTACAGGTCCTGATTACGTTTCTCTTGTTTTTAAACTTTGTAAAATTTGAGTATTTTCCTGAAATTGCCTTATTTAAATTTTGAACACTTTTTTGTCTGTAGGCTGGGCCAGTAATAAAAGTGAAAATTCCAAAAGATAGGGATGGTAAACCAAAGCAGTTTGCATTTGTGAATTTCAAACATGAAGTATCTGTTCCTTATGCAATGAATCTACTTAATGGAATCAAACTTTTTGGAAGGCCCATCAAAATTCAGTTTAGATCAGGTAACTATTCAATGATGCTGTTTGGGGAGAGGGGTTGTTTACTGCTTTGTTTTTTGTTCTTAATTTTATTATTAAGTTTTAAGAACCTCTTTTTTGGATGAAAATACTTTAAGCTTTGTGAATAGTAAACTTTATATTTCCCTGAAAATGGGTAACATTGACAACATGGATTTTGAAAGTGGTAATTCTAAAACTGCATTTAAAATTTCAGTTTGGTTTAGTGAAAAGAACATAAACTTTGTTAGCAGGACATGGGTTTGGGTCCATGGTCTGAAAGGAGCAAGGATTATTTTCTGAAAATACTTTTCCTGGCTGCTTAGTAATTTACAAATTTTGATTTTTGATAATGTAAGGATGGAACTTTCTGTGTATCCAGTCTTATAATTTAGTGTGGGGATCAGAATATTATGGCCAGATTGGATAATTATACATTGAGTACCTTATTTGGAACCCTTTGTTTTGGATATATCTGGTATTAAACATTTATAATTTGCACTCTGATGAAACTGTAAAGCAGTCTTACTGAAATTTGAGTTTTCTCTTTTAGCTTGTTCTACCTTTTTGGAGTGATTTGGGGTGGGGGGGAGACAAAATTTCAAAGTAAATTTTCTGTCAAGGATTTCTCAAATTATTTCATTTTAGGAAGTAGCCATGCCTCACAGGATGTCAGTTTATCATATCCCCAGCATCATGTTGGAAATTCAAGCCCTACCTCCACATCTCCTAGCAGGTAATATTTCTCACCTATTGTTAAAATCATTTATCGGGAATTTTCTTAGTGATCTCAACACGCTTAATGATTTGTTTCCTTCTTTATGCTCCTGTGTCTTTATTCTTCTGCTGTTAGTTGCTTTGTTGGATTATAGATACAGGCATACCTTGGAGATATTGTGGGTTCGGTTCCACACCGCTGCAATAAAGTGAATATCGCGGTAAAGCAAGTCACACAATAGTTTGGTTTCCCAGTGCATGTGAAAGTTATGTTTATGCTATACTGTAGTCTAATAAGTGTGCAATAGCATTATGTCTAGAAAAATATACATATGTAATTTAAAAATACTTTATTGCTAAAAAATGCTAACCATCATCTGAGCCTTCAGCAAGTCATAATCTTTTTGCTTGTGGAGGAAGGTCTTGACGATGTTGGTGGCTGCTGACTGATCAGGGTGGTGGTTGCTGAAAGTTGGGGTGGCTGTGGCAATTTCTTAAAATAAGACAACAGTGAAGTTTGCCACATTGATTGATTGTTCCTTTCATGAACAATTTCTCTGTAGCATGTGATGCTATTTGATAGCGTTTTACCCACAGTAGAACTTCTTTCAAAATTGGAGTCAATCCTCTCAAACTGTCGTTGCTTTATCAACTAAGTTTGTGTAATATTCTAAATTCTTTGTTGTCATTTCAACAGTCTTTGCCAGAAATAGATTTCATCTCAAGAAACCACTTTCTTTGCTCATACGTAAGACACAACTCCTCATCTGTTAAAGTTTTATCATGAGATTGCAGCAATTCAGTCACATCTTCAAGCTCCACTTCTAATTCTAGTTCTCTTGTTGCTTCCACCGCATTTGCAGTTACTTCCTTCACTGAAGTCTTGAGCCCCTTAAAGTCATCCATGAGTGTTGGAATCAGCTTCTTCCAAACTCTTGTCAATGTTGATATTTTGACTTCTCCCCGTGAATCACGAATGTTCTTAATGGCATCTAGAATGGTGAATCCTTTCCAGAAGGTTTTCAATTTACTATGCTCAGATCCATCAGAGGAATCATTATCTATGGCAGCTATAGCCTTATGAAATGTATTTCTTAAATAATAAGACTTGAAAGTCAAAATTACTCTTTGATCCATGGGCTGCAGAGTGGATCTTGTGTTAGCAGGCGTGAAAACGACATTCATCTCATTGTACATCTCCATCATAGCTCTTCGGTGACCAGGTGCATTAGTGAGCAGTAATATTTTGAAAGGAATATTTTTTTTCTGAGCAGTAGGTCTCAACAGTGGGCTTAAAATATTTAGTAAGTCATGCTATAAATAGAAGTGTTGTCATCTAGGCTTTGTTTCCATTTATAGAGCACAGGCAGGGTAGATTTAGCATAATTCTTAAGAGCCCTAGGATTTTCAGAATAGTAAGTGAGCATTGGCTTCAACTTAAAGTCACCAGCTGCATTAGCCCCTAACAAGAGAGTCAGCCTGCCATTTGAAGCTTTGAAGCCAGGCACTGACTTCTCCTCTCTAGCTATGAAAGTCCTAGATGGCATCTTCTTCCAATATAAGGCTGTTTTGTCTACATTGAAAATCTGTTGTTTAGTGTATCTGTCTTCATTAATTATCTTAGCTAGATCTTTTGGATGACTTGCTGTAGCTTCTACATCAGCATTTACTGCTTCACCTTGCACTTTTATGTTTTGGAGATGGCTTCTTTCCTTAAACCTCATGAACCAATCTCTTCTAGCTTGCAACTTTTCTTCTGCAGCATCCTCACCTGTCTCAGCCTTCACAGAATTGAAGCGAGTTAGGGCCTTGCTCTGGATTAGGCTTTGGCTTAAGGGAATGCTGTGGCTTGTTTGTCTTCTATCCAGACCACTAACACTTTCTCCGTATCAGCAAATAAGACTGTTTCGCTTTCTTATCATTCGTGTGTTCACTGGAGTAGCAATTTTAATTTCCTTCAAGAACTTTTCGTTTGCATTCACAACTTTACTAATTGTTTGGTGTGAGAGGCCTGGCTTTTGGCCTGTCTTGGCTTTTGACATGCCTTCCTCACTAAGCTTAATCACTTCTAGCTTTTGATTTAAAGTGAGAGACATGCAACTCTTTCTTTCACTTAAACATTTAGAGGCCACTGTAGGGTTATTAATTGGCCTAATATCAATATTGTTGTGTTACAGGGAATAGGGAGGCCCAAGGAGAGGGAGAGAGACAGGGGAACAGCCAGTGGAGGCATCAGAGCACACACGACATTTATCGATTAAGTTTCCCATCTTATATGGGCGCAGTTGGTGGCACCCCAAAACAATTACAATAGTGACATCAAAGATCACTGATCTCAGGTAGATCACCATAATAAATGTAATAATAATGAAAATGTTTGAAATATTGTGAGATTTAGCAAAATGTGACACAGAGACATGAAGTGAGCAAATGCTGTTGGAAAAATGGCACCTATAGACTTGGTTGACACAGAGTTGCCAGAAACCTTCAGTTTGTAAAGAAACCCAATATCTGCAAAGCGCAATAAAATGAGGTGTGCCGGTGTATAAATGTATCTATTCTAAGGCAACTATAGACAGACACATTATAATAGTCCCCTTAGAATGGATACATAATATATTTATGTTCATTTGTAAAGACATATATCCACACCCACATTACGTGTATATAACTGAAACAAAATTTCTCAAAACATTTCTTACCCTTACTACTTGCAGTACACTCTACTTTCTATTTTATCTTTTAAAAATTCAAATTAGTTTCATGACCACTAATTGTTTGTTACTTGCAGTTTAAACATCCCTATTAGTAAACAGACTACTGGACTAAGTATTCCTAGAATTGGATTCTGGGTCTACCTCTACCAATTATGTAATCTTGAGCTAGTCTCATTTCTCTGTAGAGCTAGTCTGCATTTCCATTAGTAAGGAAAAGAACTGAATGATCTCTTAAATCCCTTCCAGCTACTGAGGGCTAGAAAAGGTACTATATTTATTATTTATTTAAATAATTTTATTTGCTTTGGGGAAGCTGATATTTTACCAGGGACGGTTTTTTCCTGGTATATCCATAGAGCTATTTATCAGTCATAATGGGCTTTATTCAAGAAAGAGTTAACAAATACTTGTCATGTATTGGGTTCTTAACCAAGTCTTTTGCACTTATGATCTCATTTATTCCTCACAGCAGTCTTATGAGGTAGGGATTGTGATTATCTCTACCTTGTATATGAAGAAAATGAGGATTCGAAGTTAACTGCTCATGTTTCAACTGCTCATAAGCAATGTGCTGGGATTCAAACCCAGGCAGTGTGATCGAGCCCAGCCACTATCATATGCTGCCTAGTGGAGCTTGAAGTCGCAATGAAGACACATATTACATATATTTTGTGACTGCCTGTTTAATTACTATATTAAGTTCTCTACAGAAGGAGTACAAAGTGCTTGGAGAAAGTTTTAACAAGGAAAGACAATATAAATGAATGAGGACCTGAAAGAGGCCCATGTACCTAGATCATAATGAATGAAAAATGCAGAGTAGTAGATGATATTGGTGAAGCAGACAGAGGCAGGATGATACAGGTCTTTTTTATAGGCCATAATTAGGATTTTGGGATTTTACCCTAAGAACCATGGGAAGACATTGAAATGTTTTCAGTAGGGTAGTAATAGGAACAGGTTTGTGTTTTAAAGAGGTGTTTGGTTGTAATGACAGAATGGATTGGAGGGGACAAGGGTGAAAATAGACCAATTAGAAAGTTATTGGTAGCAAGGTATCGATATTAGTAGCATGATAGCAGGAAGTATTGGGGTGAGGTAGATGGTTTGGATTAGGGTGGTGCCAAGAGCTGGGGAGAAGTAGATGGTTATGAAAAGATATTGGAAAGTGAAATTGTAAGAAAGCAGTAGTGTAAAAAAAGGTATCCTCTTAGCACCCTATGTGCCAGCTAAAAGTAATTGTGTTTAACTACTTCTCAGTGCAGCTGCAATTAGAAGCATCTCCAACCACTTGTAGAACCTTCAAAGGTGTGTTAGGTGGAGAAAAAGAGTTTTTACCCCCTTAGAATTTCTTGGGAAAAAAATATACAAGTAAATACTTTAATTTTAATCAAAGGCTAGAGTGTACATCATTTTTATACCATTTTTATAAGTAAAATGATACTTTTTTACCCCCTTAGCATACAGATATATTACCTGATATAAGAAAACCTAAAATAAAAGGATCTAAACTATAAGACAAGTCAATTAGTTATTTGATTCTAAAGGCATATTTTAAAATAAAACTAATTTATAACATTTTCTAAGTGAGTTTTTCTGTAGAGCAAGTTACCTCTTTAGGAAGTGAGGAATAAGGAATAAGTCCTTAAAATTAATATTCTTTTTATGTAACAGAACTCTTAATTCCTTACTTCCCAAAACCTGTTCCTCTTTTGTATCTCAGTAAATGCCTACCTATTTGCTCAAGCCCAAAATCTAGATTTTATCCTTTTATTTCTTCTGTTTCCCTCGTCTCTTATATCTAATTGATCAAATCCTTTTCATTTTAATTCTCAATTTAGGCCTTTGCACTAGCCCATGGATTAACAAATTTTTTTCTATAAAGGACCAGATAGTTAATATTTTAGACTTTGCAGGCCGTGCAGTTTGTTTCTCTGCCATTGTAGCACTACATAGATAATACAAAAACAAAAGAGCGTGACTATGTTCCATTAAAACTTTGTCAAAGTTTTGGATGTAGCCCGCAGGGTACAGTTAGCTCACCCCTGCACTAGTCCTACCCTCTGCTGGAATGTTTTGCCTCTAAGTAATCTTGTCATTCAGCTCTCACTTCAATTGTCTCCTTTTTAGAAAGGCCATCCCTGACCAGCCAAGCTAAAATAGAACTCCCTTTCTCTCATCTCAAGACTTGTTCTTTACTGGTTCATTATATCACTTATAACCATGTGAAATTGTCCTGTTGTCTGGATCCTTACCCCAGCTCCATGAGGTCAGATATCTTGTTTGTCTTGTTCGTTCCTACCTTTGAGAACTGTCTTGCTCATGATTGGCATGCAGTAAATATTTGTTGAATAAAGGATTATGTGTTGGTTTTCTTGTTTTTCGCAGGTACGAAAGGACTGTGGATACCATGACTCCATCAGCACAGCTGATTCAGAGATCTTTCTCTTCTCCAGAAAATTTTCAGAGACAAGCAGTGGTAGGCTGATTTTTCAACTTGAGTTGCTAAAAAATAATCATCTTAGTTAAAATGTTCAGATAATTCTTAAATTAACTTCTTAAATTTTAGTTAGACTAGATTGATCACTCATTTTAGTTTCACTGGCCTGAATTATATATTTAAGAGATTGAAGATAAATAGAAGAACTACAGTTCACATTTGTATTTTTCTTTACCATTGTTGATGTGTTTCAAATACTGGAAATTCATTCTCTGATGTTTTTGCAACCTATGCTGAGTGACTTATATACTCTCTCTAATACTTACTATTAATACTTTAATATACTGGAGTCTTCTAGACCAGCTCGCTCTCGAACTTTCCATCTTTCTGTAATAATATCACCATGAGACTAGGCTTAAAATCTTGGGTATCTCTTACTGTTTTGTCTTTGTCTCCAATCAGTTGCCAAGTCCTTGGTTTTATTCTTTTTCTTGCATTCATTTCTTTTTATTGTCTTTGCCCAAATTACAGTCTTGGCTTGTGGTCCCTAGGCTTTTGTATTTCACAGGTCTGCAAAATAAAAATATGAGTGAAATAAAGTAAAATTGAGACCAATATAAAGGGATATCAACTTTTATATACATAGTACTTATTTTTCTCATTTTGCTGTAGGCCATTAAAAGAATCATCATTGGCTAGTATCTATCCTCAATTTCCTTTCCTTGGCATACTTGGCCCTTAAAATATTTTCCTTAAAATATTCCATCCATACTTATAATACTCAGATCAATATTCCATCTTCCTGAAGCCTTTCCTAATTACACTGAGCTCATGACTCTTTGTATGTTCATCACAGTGATTCACATTGTATTCGTTTTGTATGACTTCTTCCCTTCTAAGTTGTATTCTTGAGGGCAAGGAGTAGTAGTTAGGTCCAAATATCTTGTAGGTATACGTTAGAATGAATGAAGCGTATTGTATTTTTAGTTATGTTTAGCTTAAGATCCACCTAGGCAAGAGTGATTTTGCTTTTCCATCATTATCTGTTTGGTTAACCATGACCAAATATCTCTTGGCTTTGATATCTAGAAATATTTGCGGTTAACATTTCCTTCTTTTTCTCTTTCCTCAGATGAACAGTGTTATGAGACAGATGTCATATGGTGGGAAATTTAGTTCTCCGCATCTGGATCAAGCAGGATTTTCCCCATCGGTTCAGTCACATAATCATACTTTTAACCAGTCTTCAAGCTCCCAGTGGCGCCAGGATACACCATCATCACAGCGTAAAGTCAGACAGAATTCTCATCCCTATGTGGCAGATAGACATTATAGCTGTGAACAGCGTTACTCTGATCACGGCTCCGACCATCATTACAGAGGAAGCAGAGATGATTTCTTCTATGAAGATAGGAATCACGATGGCTGGAGCCATGACTATGATAGCAGAAGAGATAGTAGTAGAGATGGAAAATGGCGCTCATCTCGACACTAACAAGTGTTGAAAGGATGTTTTTATAGGGTCATTCTAGGCCCTTTTGGCTAAGTTGGTGTGGGAATGTTTTGTTAAAAAACTGTAGCAGCTTTACAAGTTGCCACATTTCTTTATAAAAAATTTTTAAACCTATAGCTACAGTCTAATACGGAAATGAGAATTGTGGTTCCAGTTTTATTACATTAATAACCTTTCACCTCAGGGTTTTGTGAAGAGGAAAGGGTTTTATGCAAAAGTAAATGCCACAATTCATAATCATTTTAGACAATTGAGGAAGGGATATATTATATGGATTGGTTGTATTATAAAGCAAATATTTTAATTATCTTTGATCTTTTTGTATTGCAAGAAGTTTCTTGTTTGTGAATCAGATTTTAGTGTATACAATAGAAAACATTCAAGTTGATAGTCTGAAACGACCATCAGTATTTTGTTAATAAATGAGAAAATGTAATTTCAGTGATTCATTTTACTAACATTTTATTTGAGAAAGCTTGTTGGTAAAGTTTGGGGATAAATCATATTGTTTAACCTCTTAGAGAATTTAAGTGTAAGTTCTGTGACGTGCTTTTTTTGAATTTTACCCAAAATGAACATGTACATATAAATTTACACATGCTATTTCATTCTAAAATTTTAGAATTTGCTCATTAAATCAAATTTGATATATGACTGAAGTCACTCAGGAAGTTAAATATCTGTAAATGTATTTTTTTTACATTAAAAATACAGTGTTAGTGTGAATCCCCTTTTTCAGGAAGAACAGAAATGTAAATACATACTCAGATAAAATGGTTAAATGTTTTACTGAAAGTATACTCGTATGGAAAAAAAGGTTCACAAAGCCTTTAAGTGCTGTCTCTGTCACTCAAACTTGACACATTTTGTTATGGAGATTGTACAGGTTACTTTTTTGTTTGAACATTTGAAAGAATTTAGTCTTAAACATTTTCTGATTTTGAAATTTTAAAATCTTGTGTAACGAAACTTTTATCAAGACAGTGTTTCCCTTTCATTGTAGAACATGTTTATAAAAGTTCATTCCTTGAAAAATTTGGATCCTTTTTAATATCAACCACAACATTTGTACTATGTTGTTTTTTAATATATTGAAAAGATAAAACAAAAGGATGTGTCTTATTTTCTTGACATCACTAACTTTAGAGACATAGTACACACAAAGTTAGCAACATACTTTAATCAGTGATTGGTGTTTTTTTTTTTTTAGAGGACTAATTTTTTTATTTTATTTTTTTTGTGAGAAAGATCAGCCCTGAGCTAACATCCATGCCAATCCACCTCTTTTTGCTGGGGAAGACTGGCCCTGAGCTAACATCCATGCCCATCTTCCTCCACTTTACATGGGGCGCCGCCACAACATGGCCTGACAAGTGGTGTACGCCCAGGATCCCAACCTGGGCCGCCAGTCGCGGAGCGCACGCGCTTAAGCGCTTCGCCACGGGGTCGGCCCTGATTGCCTGGTGTTAAGAATGTCAGTTCTTAGCACATTATGAAATAGACCTTTTGTACCTATCGAACTTAATATTTTAGAATCAGATTTTCAGTGACAGATGGATTGTTCTGAACACTAAACTAATTTAGTTACTCTCTTTGGTCTTTAGGAGTTTATGTACATTCAGGTTTTCTCTGTTTCTACATTCTTGCAGTTTTTCTGTGTCTAAATAAATGGAACTGTCTAATTACTCAGAGAGTTAAGATCAAAAGTTTCTGTTTGCTTAAGCAGTTTAATAGAGGGATTTGTTTCTAATGAACCTGTTGTTTTTATGTACCTTACCTCTGAAAGTTTATTCAGTATCATTTGTAGATATTAACAAAGATTAATACTGCTTTATTGCAGTTTGTCTATGGGTCAGATCCTTTCATATTGATTCACAGGTAATACTGGTTCAGAATAAATTTTTTAATGGCTTTTGGGGCACCCCTTTGTGAGGTTCCAGTGAATCTTTTTCACGTCAATCTCACCCAGTTGAAAGTAATCAAACTGAATGTGCTATGTGAAGGGATAGAACGAGACAGCCTCAAAGAATTGAATATAGTTGGTGAGACAATTCACCTAGGTGTTGAGAGCTACAGGAGTAGAAAGGGAGAGATTGTTTTTTTGGGAGAGCAGTTTCTTACACAGTGTGTTCCATGAAACACTACTCTCTCAAGATGTTCTGCAAAATAAGGGTTCTGTAATTAAATGTTTGGTAAACATTACGTACTATCTAACACTGTGACTTTCTCTTAGAGAAAGATAAAGAAGAGCACCATAAAGCTTCTGACAAGTACCACCGTAATCTGTTTATACTTAACCTGGTATTTTCAAAACTTAGTTGACCTTTATTTTACCCTTTTATGCATAACATGTTAAGACTCCGAAGAATCTTTGACTCCACCCTTCTTCATCCAATCAAGCATCAAAGTTTTTTATACCGCTTTCCAGTTATGTTGTGTAGGCCTATGTTCCCCATACCAACTGCCACTATTCTAGAATGGACAATTGTCACATCAACAGGATTATTCCAGCAGCATAAAGTACCAATTTATGTATTCCCATGATACCCTGTATTTCTCTTGTCATAGCCTTTATACTGTATTATAATTTTCTTTTTATTTGTGTCTCTCTAGACAGGTTCATGAGGGCAGGGACCATATCTTATACATCATTGAATTCCTAGTATCCAGTGCCTGGCATATATCTAATACTTGGTAAATTTTTGATGAATAAATGAAGGAACACTTGTCAAATGATTGAATTTTAACAAGGAGGCTTCAACATAGAAAAGTTTTTTGAATAGATTTCCTAACCTTGAAGCATAATTGCAACCCAATTTAAAAACTGTATTACAATATATTGTGCCTTTAATACATTCTAGAATTATATTTTTCAAATTGTTAACAGGTTTTGGATCTGTACTCATGAGATTTTCTTTAAAAAATGGTTTATCATCTCAGTTTGGTTTTGGAATTAATGGTTCTTCTGTTTTGTTTTTTTTTTTTTAAAGATTTATTTATTTATTTTCCCCACAAAGCCCCAGTAGATAGTTGTATGTCATAGCTGCACGTTCTTCTAGTTGCTGTATGTGGGACACAGCCTCAGCATGGCTGGAGAAGCAGTGCGTCGGTGCACGCCCGGGATCCGAACCGGGGCCGCCAGTCTTCTGGTTTTGTAGAATGAATTAGTCAGCTTATCTTTTTCTATGCCCTGGAAAAAATTTGAATAATATAAGAATTATCTGTTTTTTTAAGACTTGTTAAACTCGTTTATAAAACTATCTGGGCCTTAGAAGTAACTGATTACCTTCTCAATTCCTTTTATGGTTAGTTGATCTATTCAGGTTTTGTACTTTCTCAGAAGTCAATTTGAACAATTTATACTTTTCTAAAAATTCATTTTTTCTATCTTTCCAAATTAATTGATACAGTGTTGTACATGGTATTTCTTATAATTTTTGTGAAGTTCTCTGGTTATAGTCCAGTTTTAGTTCCTGATAGATTTTACCTTCCCTCCCACACCCTGGTCAGACTTTCTGGAGGCTGTGCTGTTACACATTTTACATTTATATATGTATAAGCCCCACATTGCATTGGGGTTTTTTTTTGTTTTCTTGTTCTGGTTAAAACAGGTTCTCTTTTAAGGAGATTTAAGTAAGAAAAAAATCTTACATATTTTTCCAATAGTTGTCATTTCTGGAGCTCTTTGTTCCTTTTTGGTAGATACATGTATCCATCTGGTATTCTCCTGCTTGAAGGACTTCTTTGGATATTTCTTATAGTGCTGGTGATAAATTCTTTTAGCTTTTGTATGTCTGAAAATTTCTCACCATTTTTGAAATGTTTTTTTGCTGGCTATAGAATTCTAAGTTGACAGTTTTTTTTTCTTTCAATACTTTAAAAATGTGCCTCCGTTGTCCTCGCTTGCATTTTTTCCTATAAGAAATCTGCTGTTGCGTACATAATGTGCCATTTTTCTCTGGCTAGTTTTGAGCAATTTGATTATAATGTGTCTTAATGTAATTTTTTTCATGTTCCTTTTGCTTGGGGTTCATTGAGCTGCATGGATCTGTGGGTTTATAGTTTTCATCAAATTTGGAAAAATTTTGGCCATTATTCAAAAAAAATTATTTTTGGGGCCAGCTCGGTGGTGCAAGCGGTTAAGTGCACGTGGTCCACTGCGGCGGCCCGGGGTTCACTGGTTCGGATACTGGGCGCGCACCGATGCGCCGCTTGTCAAGTCATGCTGTGGCGGCGTCCCATATAAAGTGGAGGAAGATGGGCACGGATCTTAGCCCAGGGCCGGTCTTCCTCAGCAAGAAGAGGAGGATTGGCAGATGTTAGCTCAGGGCCGGTCTTCCTCACAAAATAATAACAATAATAATAATTTTTGTCCTCACTTTCCTCTTCCTTGGAAACTCCAGTCACACTTATATGAGGCTGCTTGATGTTGTCCCACAGTTCAGTGTTGTGCTGCTTCTTTTTTAAATTGTGTTTCTCTGTTTCATTTTGGATAGTTGTATTACTGTGTGTTGAAGTCCACTCATCTTTTTTTCAGCAGCCCCTAATCAGCAATTAATTCCAATATAATCTTCATCTTAGACATTGTAGTTTTTTTCTCTAGAAGTTTGATTTGAATCTCTTTTTTTCTGATTATTTCTCTTTTTCCCCCCAGCTTTATTGAGGTACAGTTGATGAAATTGTAACATTTAAAGTATGCAGTATGATGATTTGATATACATATACGTTGTGAAAGGATTCCCCCATTGAGTTAATCAACACATGATTTGGATCTTTTTTATATCTTCACTATATTTACTTAAATTTTCAACATATGAAGTTATAGTAGTTCTGATGTCCTTGTCTGCTAATTCTAATATCTGTGTCAGTTCTAGGTTGGTTCCTATTGGTTCACTCTCTTATTATTAGATGTGTTTTCCTGCTTCTTTGCGTGCCTCGTAATTTTGAGTGGATGCTAGGCATTGTGAATTTTATCTTATTGGATGCTTGATATTTTGTATTTCTATAAATATTCCTGAGCTTTCTTCTGGAACACAGTTAAGTTAAATTACTTGTAAACAGTTGTATCCCTTCAGGACATGCTTTGAAGATTTGTTAGGCAAGATTTGAGAAATATTTAATCTAGGGTTAATTCACCCCATTACTGAGGCAAGACTCTTGAATACTCTAATAGGTGGCTCATGAATTTTGAAGCTTTTCAGTCTTTCAGTATCTGAAGTTTTTCAGATACTGTTCCTGGTTCTATGTGAGTGCTGAGTAGTATTCCCTCTAATTCTTTGGGGCAGTTCTTTCCCCAGCCTTGGGTAGTTTCTTCACACCTGTATGCTGATCAGTACTCTCATGAGTATTGGAGGAAACCCTGCAGATCTCTGGGAGTTTTCTCCCTGTGTAACTTAATCCTCTGCAACACTGTGTACTGGACATTCTAGCTGCCTTGGTTTCCCTGGACTCTCAGTTTTATCTCCTCAACCAAGGGAGTTTGCCAGGCTCTGCCTCCCCTGCCCCCCACCCCCAACCACACTGCAGCCTGAAGATTCCCTCAAGGCAGCAAGCTGAGGGACTGGTAGGGCTCTCTTCATTTGTTTCCTATTTCTCAGGGGTCACTGTCCTTTGTACCTGACGTCTGTTGTCTTGTTTCATATTTTGTCTGTACTGGTTACTTCAGACAGGAGGATAAATCTAATCCTTGTTACTCCATCTTGACTGGAAGTGGAAGTTAATCCATGAGTTTGGATATGTGGTGCACTCACCATTCTTCATTTTATTTTATTTTTTTAGTTTTTATTATTATGATAATAATTGTATTATAAAATATTGGATTCTATGATA